GGTGGACGACAGCCCTCATTTCTGTACACCACTCAGTCACTTTGTCCGCTGTCGCTTGTAGCTTTCGGGCTTTTTTTTTTTTTTTTGGGTTTTGTTTGTAACTGCCATGTGTCACACTATCATCTTTCACTTTATTTTCACCTTCCTCCCTGTCTCGTCTACAGTCTGTCCGCCCAGCCATATTACTGGCCTGGTGCAGTTCTCCAAACTACTCTGGTACAATTGTGTTCTATCAACTGTCCTCCACAACTTGTGCAAGTTCTGATCTATTCTCCTGTTTCTATTTACGTCAACTTCAGAAGAATGTACGGTGACGTCTGTTTTTTTTTAAATTTCTAGAACGTTCGGTCCATTTGGTTTTTTTTTAAAGCCAAACATCTGGTGCCAAAAGAGACTGGACATAATTAGTTTCTGTCTTGAAATTTGACACGCAATTGTAATGCTCGGACCAATTTACATACAGTCAAGCGACAACCAAGTTAACAATACGTCTCCTCACAGCAGAGGATTTCTTCTGCTTATCTGTGGTTAATTAAAAGCATTGTCAGTGTGTATAGCCGGCGTTTACAGTCAGTAGGCACAGCCGGATTTTTACAGCAGGTGAATGATGAATGTTGATAAAGGAATCGACATCATAGCAATTGGGACACCCCCATAAGCACTTCGTCTCCATCTTCTACAGCAAACGAAGAGTTTCAATTCTGATCGTACCAGTAACTGTCTAATTGAATATCCGTCTCGCCCTTTTCTTGAGTGTTCAGTACTGGCCACATCACCTGGTAACTCCTCGCAGCGCCACTCTCTTCTAAGCTCCCTATTATTATGATCAGTTTGGGCTATAAATTTCTTCAAAAATGCTTCCCCTTCCTCTTTCTCTTATGTGATTGTTAGGTTGCTCCTGATGTTGTCGTTTCATTTCTTGTGTGGTCTTCCCCTTAGTCTTTATTCATTATATTTCCTCAGCGTGGCTCTCTGAGGCAGTTAGTAGCAAAGCATTCTCGTCAGATGGCCAAATCATCTCATTTGTTGTTCTATGAATTGTATGACGGGTTTCAGTCCTAGTCTTCTTCTAATTTTGTCATTATTGATTTTATCTCTTCAAGTCACAACGGTTGCTTTCCTGAGACATCTCATCTCTGTTGTTATGATCTTCCGCTCGTTAGTTGTTGTAAGGGTCCATGTTTGGCACAGGTAGCACAATGTCGGCCAACGAACCATTCTAATGAGATTTGCTTCGGTTGACAGAGGTATTTTCTATGCGTCAGAAGCGGTGTTAATCGTCCCACAACCTGATTTGCTTTCGCACATCGTATGTTGATTTCTCTATCATTCCTACAATTTTCTCGTTTAGCCTTTTTTGCATCTGCTGCAAACCGCTAAACTCTTCTACTTTTCTTTTTCTAACATTTCTAGCTTCTCTAATCCTTTTGTAACTTTTTCACACTTTCTGTAATTGTTTAACTGCTGCTCGCTTTGCTCTCCATACCTGTTCTACTTCTTGGTCCCACCATGGAGGCTGCACAAAAGCCGAGGTGGTGGTTCTGCTGTATACCTTCTGTCGAAGGCGTCCAAGAAGGAAGTATTGCGCGTTCTCATAACCTGATCTTGCTAGCTGGAGTTGACAGTCGGTGTTGACTACCGGTGTTTTCATTCGGTGTTGACAGTCAGTGTTGACAGTCGGTGTTGACTGTCGGTGTTGACAATCGGAGTTGACAGTCGGTGTTGACAGCCAGAGTTTATGGCCGATGTTGACAGTCGGAGTTGATAGTCGGAGTTGACAGTCGGCGTTGACAGCTGGAGTTGACAGTCGGTGGGTTGAGCCAGTGTGATCCGCTGGAGTTTACAGCCTGTCTTTACAGCCGGTGTTGACAGCAAGCGTTGACAGCCGGTGTTGACAGCAGGTTTTGACAACAGGTGTTGACAGTCGGTGTTGACAGCAGGTGTTGGCAGCCGGTGTTGACAGCAAATGTTGACAGCAGGTGTTGACAGCAGGTGTTGATAGCAGGTGAACGCTAATAAGACGATTAGGTTGGGTTGACAACAGAGCCCCATTTGTTTGTTCGAGTGATATAGACAGACTAGTAGAGAGAAAGAAAGAGAGAGAGAGAGAGAGAGAGCGAGAGAGAGAGAGAGAGAGAGAGAGAGAGAGAGAGAGAGAGAGAGAGAGAGAGAGAGAGAGAGAGAGAGAGAGAGAGAGGGCAGAGTTTAACTTGGCATTACCAAAAATAACCATATTTGCTACCGCCCTCTGAAGTCAAAATATTTGTCAACTGCCCAGGAGCCGAGCAATATGCAAGCGAGCACTCGGCAACGATCAGCGCACTCAGCAATCAATACCAGAAACATATCGATCACCTCTCCATTACAAGTACTGAGAGCGACCAGGCAAAGACCAACAAGAACTCTGTGTATTGAGGGAAATGGTCTTAACTGTTAGAGCCCTAACTCCTAGAGAACTCAAACCGAAGGGCTGAAGTGACAGATGTGTTTTTAAAGAACAAGAACTATCTGGGTTAAGCTGGCATCTTTGACACCACCAGCTGCTATTTTGTACTAAAATATGCGCGTTTCAATGGAAGTGAAGTTTCATTCATTCATTCATTCATTCATTCATTCATTCATTCATTCATTCATTCATTCATTCATTCATTCATCATCATCGTAGTCGTCGTCATCATAATGCTGACAGGAGACACGACGCTAGATGAAATAAGATGCTAGAATGTGTCAACGATTAATTATATGTGGAAACTAAGTTCATTTTTGACAAAAAGCCCAGATCTGAACCCATGCCCTTCCGATCCGCAGGCGAGCGCCTGGCCGCTACACCACTCCGGCCCCTTTAAGTGTATGTGTGTATATAGGTATACACGTGTGTTTATGCAAACACGTATACATGCATTCCTAAGTGGGCGTGCCCACTTGTGTGTGTGTGTATGTATATATATATATATATATATATATATATATATATATATATATATATATATATATATATATATATATATATAAAATTGCACATACAAAAACGGTCAAGTCGGAAGATGTGAACCAGCGTTATAAACCATAAGTGCTCTGCCACAAGTACAGACAACTGATACTAAACTGACCGCTATGTCGCCGTCCCCACGAAACTCCGTAGCTACAGCGACGTTCCTACATTTACCTCAGAGTGTTAACTCTGGTACCCAGCCGTGGGCAGCAGCGAGTCGCAGCTGGATTTGAAAGCGAGTCTCCTATCGACTGCGTTAAGGCGGCCCCTCAAATATATGTCTATATGTGTGTGTGTATATATATATATATATATATATATATATATATATATATATATATATATATATTTACACACACACATATATATATAATCCTTCCCCTTGTTCTCTTTCTATCAATCTTGCTGTTGTTACCAAGTTAAAGAGTCTATTCCTTACCTTGAAATATACCTACTTTAATAATTAAAAAAAAAAAAAAGAAAAGAAAATGACATAAAGGCAACAATGTTTTCTCTTCCCACACTTTACATTATGCTCTGGTCTGTAATTCTGGTAGTTTTCTCTGGAGAGGATGAATTTCATCCCTGACCTTAACTGGCTGTGATTCGCATGCCTCTCTATAACACAAGATAACACTTCGTCTCAAAAGACGAAAAGGTTAATGCAAGTTTTAGACCCCAATTCTTTGCCCAGATTCTCCACTTTCTCCACTGACTTCTGAAGCTGACAGGAAGTTGTTGTGGAGTCTTTAGTGGCCATCTAAACTGCAAAGTCATCGAGGATTCTATATACATCTTCAGGTAGGCTGTTGGAACCTTGCTGGGGACATTAGGAAATAACAGTTTTGTAAATCACGAAGAGCCTTTGCTCTTGTACCATTCTCTGGGAGACTCCCTGTCTGTTTTACTGGCCTAACAGCTGACACAGTCAGTACAGCTGAAGACGTTATACATTTCAATGCTGTCAAATCTAGGTACAGAGTGCGGCATCTTTGACATGGAAAACTGCACTGAAGATTGCACAGGACAGGAAAGCATGGGAAGTCCTCTCTGAAGCCTCATGTGCCACTAGGCATAACGAGAACTGACGATGATCATGAAGTCTAGGTACAATAAGTCTCTCATTCAACAGTAGGTGTTGTAGCTGCTTCTTGTTATAGATTCATCTAAAGCCACCCTTCCACTCTGTGTCCAAGTAACGGAATATTAAAACAAAACTAAAGAATAACAGATTCTTTAACAAGAAGGGTGAATGTGATTGATTTAAACAAATTTCTTTGTTAAGTTTGAAAATTAAGCAATAACAGCGATTTTAATGTATTACACTACAGTAATAGAGGCACGAACAGTTTATCAGAATTGGTTCTTTCTTTCTCTCTCTCTCTCTCTCTCTCTCTCTCTTCTCTCTCTCTCTCTCTCTCTCTCTCTCTCTCTCTCTCTCTCTCTCTCTCTCTCTCCCGCTGTATTACTTTTATTCAATGCTTCCCAGCTGCACCTGAGGCTAGTATCGCCGCCCCCCCCCCTCCGAGCGTCCCTGCACCCCAAATTTGATCGAGGCTGATACCGCCACCTGGACCCTTCCAGCACCCCTCAGGAGGAGGGGGGGGGGGTAGCGGCCACTCTGAAAAACTGGCACTGGTGCAATCGGAACTGAAACTCTTCGCTGGCTGCTGAAGATGTGAAGAGAGCTGGTATGGGAATGTTGTGAGTGCTGCGATGTCGATTCTGCGCTCAAATCAACTCTCTTTTCTGTTTCCACATGGTCTATAATTGCCTACTGATGCATGATGGTAGCCATATTACATGGCTGAGCCATTTAACCTGTTTACTAATGAAATCTAGCTCTGCCACTACATAATAACAACACGAACAGTTACAATAACAATTTTAGGAGGATGACGACGGAAATGACAACTGTGACAAAAACTACAACAAATGTAATGATGATAATGAAGACGACGAGAAGGAGGAGGAAAGAACATCAAAGAGTGGTTGAGGAGATACTCACATGCCCCAAGCCTTCCTTGTGTAAAAGGAAGGGAATGTTGAATGGCGTTGTGACGATGAGCGGGAACCTGGACACTGTCCGTGCGTGTCCCAGAAACACAGATCCATCGGCACCTTTGGCAAACAGCTGTTTGTGGTTGGCCTCCCCGGACTTGAGAGTTCCGTACATGAATACCAGATGCTTATTCTTATCCATCTTTAGAGTTTGTTTGTTAACTGGGGGAGAGCCATCACACTTAAACATTCACACACGTTTACACAAAGTTTGATTTGAAAATAAACTCCGCGAGTTGAGTTGAGTCAAAAATTTACATCACATCACTCGGGGCATTCCCATACGCGCTCTGTCCCAAACCTCGGCAGCCAGCACAGAGTTCCAACATTAATGGTGCCAGTCGTAGTCTGGCTGTATGTCCGTCTTGCCTTTCCTCTGAGCGTAGTGTGCCGGTCGAACCCTTTGGTCACACCCAGGTGCATTATTACCTCCAGCCCATAATAATCTACTAGTTTTTCTTCTGACTTCGTTACTTGTTCCCAAAGGGCTCTGATCACGACCGCCTTGTTATGTATCGATTACCACCCAGCAGTGCAGATCCAGTCAGTCTGCCTGTCTGGTCATTCCCCACCACGCCGGCATGGCCTGGATAAAAGATCTAAAGTATGCTCACTACCTGTGAACTTGCAAGTGAAGCTTGCCACTCTGCTGGAAGCAATCCTGTCTTCACCTTTCTCAGCATGCTTTTAGAATCCATTACAATTACGACATGTGTATGTATCTTGTTCTCTAGTCACCAACAACCTACAGTGACCGCCTCCACCTCCACTCTCATGCTAGATGTTGTGGTATCATATGCCAGGCTGTCCTGCACTAAAGACTTTCCATTGGCTTTTGCTACGAAACCCCAGGCACTTCTCTTCCCTTTCAATACAGAACCATCTGAGTAGATAATCAGATCATCAGGACGAGAACTGTCGGGAACTTCCACATCAGTAGCCCCCGCTGGCTATTCTCTGCAATCTCGGCCTAATGTGATCGTGACCTTACATAGGTAGGGGAAACCGAAAGTAATGAGAATACGAGTAGATAGGAAACACAAAGTTCATGTTAATAGTACTATAATCAAACAAGTACGAGAATTCTATATCTAAGTAGCATATTTACAGAAGATGACAAACTTAAGAGAGAGAGAGAGAGAGAGAGAGAGAGAGAGAGAGAGAGAGAGAGAGAGAGAGAGAGAGAGAGAGAGAGAGAGAGAGAGAGAGCGAAAAGTAAGTGTACAGAAGGCAAATGCTGTCACCACCATCTTGCGCCACTCCTTAGACACCCAAATGTCTCCTTTCAATCAAAACTGCAAATTACTAACATCACCATAATCCCTCCTTGATGATATCAGTGCCAAAGATGGACAATGAATAGGGCACTAGAACAGAAAATAACTACACGTGAAATGCAGTGTTTTCGTAAAGTCACTAACAACACTAGAAGGGACTGGGTTATAAATGAAAAGAAAGTTGGAATGTTTTTGCTGTTTGCGTTCAGGGGCTGTAAATCTCGACGGAAAGTTCTGATTGTTCGTCCCTTTCTGGACTTTGGTTTTATTCCATGACACAAGTGTTGCTTGTGCATCAGTTTTAGAGATCTAGCTTATTTGTAAGCAGACTTTTAATTCATTGCCTCTCCTGCAGATGCACTCTGCCTTTGACGAAAGCACGACTCTGTGCTACAACCTGGTATCAGTGAAACGAGAACAGACAGATAATTTAAGACGATACACAATATCAGGCAATGGTCGGAGCCTAGCAATGGTGTACTTGTTGGCTGATCATGGGTTCGAATCCTATACGAAACAGAGCTTACCTTCTCGCGTGGACTTGTGAGGCCTACCAGCTTCAATAGCTTGTACCAGGAAATGTTTTAGGAAGTATAGGCGATCTTTGTGATATCGACCATGCCACCGAAGGAATTATGATCTGACTATAATAAACACATGGGATTAGCACCACTTGCCCAAGGTGCCACGGTGTTTTCTTTAAAAAAACTAAATATCTCAGTGTTTAACATGGTGAGCCTATAATGGCAGGGCCGTGCGGTAGATTTTCTTAGATTGATGCAAGTATTCGAAAATCGGCCTTGTAAATGTTCAACCTTTTGATTTCGTTAATTTTGGCGCCACCTTACGTTGCTCCCCAATTCGGCCGCTGCTCTGTATCATGACACGGCCTTGCATAGTGGACTGTTCGGCTGTGTAAAACCGGGCTCCTTGTTGTATTATCAGATATTCTTTCCCACAACAGCAGTGTCAGTTACATTTGTTTCCTTGCACAATGTTCCAAATTTGGCATCTTCCTGGAGCTGCCCTAACCTTTCCCCCCCCCCCCCCCCGTGTCCTGCTCTCTAATGCAAATCTGTATCGATTGTTGGTGTTCCTCTTCAACTGTGATTTCTTTTACATCTTGTTTTTTCTTTCTTTCTCGTCGTTACATTGCTGTGTCTGCTGGCGTCTTGGCAACCATGTCTGTATGTAGATCTGCTGATTTATCAACTGTCTGTTTTGTAAATATACTGTTGCCATCAGATGTACTGTTAGGCTGTAGTGTCTATACAAGTGGTGTGCTGTTATTTTGTAGTGTATCTATAAAAGTGGTGTGCAATTCTGTAATAGTGTGTGTACACAAGTTGTGTGCTATTCTGTTGTAGTGTGTGTGTACAAGAGGTGTACTTTTATGTTCTAGTGTGTGTACACAAGTTGTGTGCTATTCTGTTGCAGTGTGTGTGTACAAGTGGTGTACTGTTCTGTTCTAGTAAGTGAGTGTACACAAGTTGTGTGCTATTCTGTTGCAGTGTGTGTGTACAAGTGGTGTACTGTTCTGTTCTAGTAAGTGTGTGTATACAAGTTGTGTGCTATTCTGTTGCAGTGTGTGTGTACAAGTGGTGTACTGTTCTGTTCTAGTAAGTGTGTGTATACAGGTTGTGTGCTATTCTGTTGCAGTGTGTGTATAGAAGTGATGTACTGTTCTGTTCTAGTAAGTGTGTGTATACAGGTTGTGTGCTATTCTGTTGCAGTGTGTGTATAGAAGTGGTGTACTGTTCTGTTCTAGTAAGTGTGTGTATACAGGTTGTATGCTATTCTGTTGCAGTGTTTTTTTTTTTATACAAGTGGTGTACTGTTATGTTCTAGTGTGTGTGTGTGTGTACAAGTTTTAACACTCTAAGTACCAAACCACTAGCCATACGTTTCATGGTCATGATACACACAACACGATGTTCCTGCTCTCTTCTACCACAACCACATGTATTGGCCCATTGTTTGACTGCAAGCTCCTCTGTTCTGAAGGCTACCTCAGACGCCGCTGCATCTGGTCTGATGTCGACAACGGTGAAGTGGAGATAAACAGATGTCTTGTCACCAAGGCAACACTAACGATAATCTGACACTGCACTTAGAGCGTGTTTTTGTTATTATTACAGTTGAACCTCGCTTAAGGAGCAGTGTTGCCACTTTTTATGTTTTAGATTTAGATGTTTTCCCTTGCATTTAGATGGCGTTTTTGACATTTAGATGGTAGATGTTTTTTAGATGTTTTTCATTTAGAGTGAATTTATCAAATCTAACCTAAGAAACAGGGGGAAATTTGTCCTCTCAAATACTATTTTGGCAATAAATTTCGGCCTGATAAGAGTAGGAAAAGCTGTTCCACTTATCAGCTCCCTGATTGGGTATTACAAAAAACTGGAACAGCTAAAGCATACAAGAGTCATTTTAGATCTGAAGCTTCAACTTCATCATCCAAGCTATGTTTATCCTGTGGATCCTGTAAGGCAGACTTCAGTAAAGATAAGGACATGATTCTATACGGTAAGTCATATCAATTGCTATGTAATTTGTGACACTTTCCATTTGGATGTTTCTTCTAGATGTTTTCCACGCAAATTAAGATGTTTGTAGATATTTTTTGACTCCGTTTTGGATGTTTTTTGTCAAAGAAAAGTGACAACACTGTTAAGGAGCATAATTCGTCCCAGAATCATACTCGTCAAGTAAAACACTCGTTATGCGAAAAAATTTTGCTCATACAAATTAAGGTAAAATACGATAATGCGTTCCATGTCGAAAAACAAAATACTCACAAAAGGCTATGTATAACGTTTAGTCAAAGAAAATTATATACACATTGTTAAGGAGAGTGAATCATCTTCATCTTTTCTTCAAACGCGGAACGAACCCACCTGGAATGCGAATTCGATTTGCAGGAAAAAAAAAAGAAGTCGAAATAATTATGATACATAGCTAATTATTTTTTAACTAGAAAGATGTCCAGACACATTTGATTTTGCCGACGCTTTAAAATTTGGCGAAAATAGGACACAGTATTATCATTAAATAAATTTGCAGCGCGCATAGTCACTTCCTCATTAGGTTGATGCTTCTCAATGAAAGATTCAACAGTTTCCGATGCTTTCAGCATTTCTGTTATTTCGCTGAAGATTGTTGCTTTTGTTACCTCCTCCTCCTCTGACAAACTTTCCCCCCAAAACTTCTTGCTGTAAAACACAATGCAATTCCATAAGCTCTTCAATAGTCAGCTCTTGGCTATGCTCTTCCACAAGCTCTTTGATATCACTGTTATCCACCTACAATCACATGATAGTGGCCAAAGACACAATCTCATTGACTACAGGTTCCACAGATACTGTCTCGAACCCCTCAAAGTCACAAATCGACAACGCTCTCCGGCCAAAGCTTCTTCCAAACAGAAGTTAGGGTTCTCTTGGTAACCCCTTCGCCCGCCTTGTCGCTCGTCTTGAGACAGGTAACGATGTGGGAGTGATTTTTCCAAAACTCTTTGAGAGTGAGGTTGGTCCCTTCAGTCACCTGAAAACAATGCTCGAAGAGTGCTTTAGTGTAGAGCTTCCTTAATTTAGAGATAACTTGCTGGTTCATGGGCTGGAGTAACGGAGTGGTGATGGGAGGCAGAAACTAAATCTTGATGAACTTAAATTCTTTAGGGAAGTCATCTTGTAGGCCTAAAGGATTCATGTACATATATTGCAATATAACACAAGTTTGAGAAAATGTGTGATCGCAAGCGACACTACGATGCTACTGGAACGGGTGCTAAACACAGACTGATGTAACATGCGCACAATCCGGCACTTCCCCTCTCCTCGCCACTCGTTTTGCGAAACGTCGCTCA